ACCATAGTTAGCATTGTCTGAAACACAGAAAACTGAGAAGTATTATTTTCATCAGAAAAAATAAGGAAAAAAATTCTCATTCACATATATTTTCAATGAGTTGTAACTGGCTCTCTATAATACTGTTTTTAATTAAACTATTGCTCTAAACTTTGAGTTGCCTTCTACCTTTTCTTCTCATACCCTCTCCCATGAAAAAAATCTAGACTAAATATTTATAAAATTATTTGGGAACAATTTGATCTGCTACTAAACCAGCTCCATATCTGCCATACTTTCTGAAATGGTTTTCTTCTTCCTTTTCATTAGTGTCTTTGGGCAATGGGTCTGTTGCACCACCCTGCTCCTACTGAAATTAGGGGCAGGAACTACACGCATAGCCATGCGTTCAACACCATTTGGATTTGATTTCTAAACATTAAAGACCCAGCAGAAAGATTCAGGAATATCCTGAAGTCAATGTATCATACAAACCTTCATAGTGGCACAGTGGTCAGTTCTAATGTTGAAGGCATCCCTGAACAGTCACATTTCTTATTATTACCTGTGATATGGGTACACATGCCATGTATAGATACTTGCAACAAGGCACTCCTACTAGGTTTTGCCATCGCAGCAGTAGCACAGGAACAGGGAGAAGCCACAGCTCTAAGCTGCCCAGAGCATGCCCCGCAGTTTGAGTTTCAGCATTTCCCTGATTTTTTTTTTTTTTTGGCCCAGACAAAAAAGAAATGGGTAAAGCAACCAGTTCACTCAAAACCAGATGCTTTCTTTAGAAACTTAGTCACAAGAGGTCAGACCTCGCCTGCTCTTCTGAATGTCAGAAAGCAGACAGATGTGGAGAGGTGACAGGGCCTGGCCAGTTCTTCCTTAGCTTTACAAACCTGGTCACTCTCTGGGGCAGGCCACCCTCTGTACCACAAGGTCTAGTCAGCACAGGGTACAGCTGCCAACTTACCTCTCTCAGGTGACTGGAGCTAAGTGGGGAAAGGTAGGCATTTGACAGAGACAGTCAACTTACAAAAGAGAGTGCAACATCTGATCCAAATTGCTGGGGTTTTTTCCCCCCTTTTCTCCCCCTCTCCAGAATTCAGTTATGTTATTTGAGTACCAAACCCAGCCTAGGCATTCAGTGGGAGTTGCATTAAAAAGATAATTCCAAACAAGTTGTCCACTTATAAGGGAGGTTGAGATGGGCTCTTAATCAAAACTACAAATTCAAATATTCATAGATTTTGAGGAAGACTCAGTATTACTGTACATTCTGGTGACAATTTCTGCCTTCTTACAAATTGGCTCAAAATTACCAGAAACTTTTAGCAATTATTTAAGATCCTGATTTTGCAACCTACCTCTTCCTAAGGAAAACTAACAGAAAAGTCTAAAGAAACAAAAGGCCAAAAATCCTTTCGACAACAACATATAGTTATCTTGAAGACTATAAGCATTTGGGAACTACAATACTCTAAACTAAGATTTCATTTTACAAAACACAAATCAAATCCAAAGCACAGTATCTGACTGTATCTGTCCCTGCAGCATCACTCTGAGGACAGACCTATCAAGATTAAAGTCCTATTTCTACAGCCCTTAGTGGGAAGATTCCACACGACAAAGAAAAACTTTTTTCTTTTACATTCTTTATGGGATTTGATTCAGCTCCAAGATGGCTGTTTCCCTCCACAGGTTGTCTTTCAAGCACCATGGCTTGGCTGCTACATTCACAAAGCAGCTGAAATTAACCAAAATAAATATTGCTTTAATTGCCTTCTTATAAACAAGAGAAACATGAACACATCCCTCTTCCTGAGAGGTTTTGTGAACTATTTCCTCAAACCTGGAGGGAGGAATATAACATCCTCAGCAATTAAGTTCAAATGTACGTGAATCTGGGCTCCAAATCACAGCTTAGAAAGAGCTCTCTGCCCGTTTTATTCATTAAAGACTATATGTCAAACTAATGCTGCTCTCCAAAAATCTCCACATAAATTTCCCTGTCGTCATTTGAAGAGAAAAATAGTAAGCTTTCCAACATGGAGCAGATCACAAGCACACAGTGGAAATACTTAATCAAGTGGGATTCATGGGATCTATTTGAAATGTGTAACTCCATAGAATAGCTCCTGCTTGCTAACCAGGGCTGGTGTCCAGCTGACAATCGTTTGCAGTCACTTCCTCTAGCAAGTCTCATGTACACACTAAATTTGACTATTGCCAGGGACAGTACAGCTGCACAGAATTGCATGGTTATGCTTTTGGGTTACTTTACACACACTTTTTATTGCTAAGTTGATGCAAATCCTTACCCAGGTTTAGATAGCAGTTAACATTCCTGTCGCTGCAAAGGGAGTATACAGTTCTCCTCCATTATTAAAAGAAACCTGCCTGGCCAATCCAACAGAACCTCTCTGAGACCTCCAACCTGAAGACAACAGAAAGATTTCTACATGTTAGACAGGACCAACTCTACAGCACAAGTAAATGCTTGGATCAACAGTTATATACCTGATACCTCTGTGCAAGCTAAGATTTTGGCAAGTAAGTCAAACATGATAGCATTGGTGAAATTTATAAAGGGAAAAACCATTAAGCAGGACAAGAGTTGAAAGCAAGAACTAAGTGCACTTTATAAAATCTGCTGATAAGTCATGTCCATATCTCATTTCTCTTAAGGCAGATATTTTAGGCAGGAAGACCAAACATGGTTTTTAAGACATTCACCTATGGTGTGATGCTGTGTCATTAGAGGTATAAGGGTGATTTCTATGCTCTGACTTAACGCAAGGCAAAACTCTCTGGAAAAGTTTATGTAAAAAGCTACTGTTCATGTAAATGCAAAGCAATTTAAAGCTGGCAGTACTTTCACTCTTCTTGGAAGTGCCTGCTGAAGTTGGTAGCTATGACTGAAAAAGACAATGAACACAGGCAGGTATGTACTGCAAAGCTGCATGTAATGGGAAAAAATGGAAATGTCATATCGCAATTAAGTCTTTAACAGTTTGAGTTGTTTGGGGTTTTTTTGTCATTGAAGTTTCATTTCCCAAAACAGGACATCATAAGCCAATGAAAAGCATGTTTCTGGAATTTACATTAAAATATGCTTTCTTATTAATTCTGTACAGATGCAAACAACTAGGATTCCTTTTTTTTTTGAACCAGCTTACTATAACAAGCAGAACGAGACTAGCTGTAAAAATTTTTTCAACTACAACAGTAATTTCACTTTGTACAATTACTCTTAACACATGCTAGAAAAATTCAGTACTCCCAGGAAAAAAGTAAGAAATTAGAATAATAATTTTAGATTCACAGTTTATAACTTGACCATCATTGGCCATATATAGAAACAGGCTATTGATGGATCTATGACAGAAGGTATGTTAATTAATATAGCAACGAGCCATCAATAGAGTATGCATAAGTAAGCTGTTACACACAGAGCCTGGAAACAGGATGGCAGAGGGGAACAAAGGCAGGACTGTCTTCAGTCTGCAGAGAAATGCATCACTAACTGATTACTATACACTGTGGTATGAGGCTTTGACACTGAACTCATTGCTTATCTTCTTAAGAATTCTTTTGACAGTATCTTTCAACTATGAAAGATGCATTTTTCAAGGGAGGAAATTATAAACCAACATCTTTTCCACTGTTCTGAGAAAAAAGGCTTTAGGAACATACCAAGAATCTCTTATCTGCATTCCTATTCCCTTCCCCCTTTTAAAATTCTCTGAATTATTTGGAACCTATTTTTCATCTCACTCAAAATACAATCTAGCAGATGCCTCAACAGTGATTCTGAGATCACTGTGCCTGGCACTCTGTAGAATGATTTCTCTCTGTACAAAATGAATGTAAGACCTTATCAGTCTGACAGGGTGGAGCAACACCAAAAGATACCACCACCTGCACCCTCTTGCTCAACGCTCCAGATGTTGAAGGGTATCACTGTAGCTGCATAATACTGTTTTCAGATAGTGGCCTCAGTGCAAACTAGCCTCTACACATTGTCTTTCTAAATGCAAAAAAGACCCTATGATGCACTCATACAGTATAACACACATCTGTTTTATTCAAGCTCTTTCAAAGTTAGGCCACATAAGTTGCACGTAAAATTCACTATCTGCTACAAAGGCATTCCAGATTTCCATTTCCCCGTACGCTTGGAGACAGGCACACAACAGTCTCACACTGAAAATGTGAGAACTCGTGGCTGAAGTCAGAGAAATCTATTCTGCTCTCAGTCACGCCAGAGAAAAACAGAAAGGACTCCACAGGAGTCAGTACAGAGTTACACTGATGTAAAAACAGAAATGAAGACAGAATTAAAACCATTTAAACTCAAATCACACTCTTGAGATCTGCCTGTTTGAAGGATCAACATATCCTTAACCCAAATTATTTGATTTATTATACATGCTCAAGTGAAAGTTTGATGAGGCTGGTTCAGAGGGACTCTTACTGAGCCAGGGATATGTCAATCTGAATGGTCAAAATACAATAAAACAGTCACTATGCCTCATTTTTTATGAGATTATTAGTAACACCTTAAGTTTGGACAAGAAAACTTACTGGAGCATTTATACATTGGAAGATGCAGCAAAAACCTTAATGCTCACATCACTTTTGCAAGGCAGAGAACAGTTTTATCTCTGCTTTGCTAACAAGGGAATTCATACAGAAAGCTGCAGTAACTCAGGACAGTCAACCAAAGCGGTGAAAGACATATGGTCAGAGTCCAGCACTGCCTTCCACAATGCACCACATGTCACCCCCCAGATCAGGGTCCAAGCCTCTTCTCGTTTGCATCAGTGACAAATTTTGCTTCTTTCAGCAGATTTTGAACTCTTGATTTACATGGATAGGAAGAGGGAATACAACTCTCCATATATATGGCTTGAATGTCTTCCTTATCCACCTTTGATATCCAGCCCCAAAATAGTCTAAATTTCTCTGCAAGTGGGGAAAAATGACCCTTCTCTATGTTAATAAAACACTAACATTCTCTCACTATGAGTAACAGCACTCCTCCAAATCAGCTTCATGCTAGAGGGAATCTTCATCTGTATCAATGTCACTGCTTGGTTTGTTCAGTCTCTCAAATTCTTCTCCATCCTACAGAACCAGAAGCAAAAATAGAACAATGTGAGCAAAAGTTATTTAACTATTAATAACAAAGGGAAAAAGAAAACAGAGTAAAGTTCATTTTGAAGGCATCACTTAAATAAAACCAAGATCCTATAATTCAAATCTCTTATAAGTGTGTTATAATCTTGCTCTAGGATATACATGCTCGTAAAAAACATCCCCTGTATCTTCAACATTTTTTAGGGACTCACTCCCTTAAACAACTTGTAGCTTATTCCTTCATCAGGAAGCCTGCTCACACAGTGCTATTTGTTTTCACCACAACTGCTCAACTGTAAGTGCTAAAATAGGTAATGCCTGGTATATCAAAAATATGACTTTGTGTTATTTACTGCTTGTTAAACAACAACCTAGAAAGGCACCATGTGGAAATCCTGGAAAACACCTCTCCCGAGTTTAATGTTTCTTAGAATTAAACGGAGGCAGTACTCTCTGCTGGTTGTCACGTGTATGACAGAACACATTTGTACCCTCAGGCTAAAAGTACACTGACATTAATTAACCCTTCCCGCCTAGACTGACTGTTCAGCTCAACTGAACGGCACATCTAAGAAGAAGCCGTCCCTGTCATGTTCTAGTTAACAAGATTACTCTTCAAATTAGGACAAAAAACACTAACGGGCCTGGAAGAAACATTTTGTAAGGAAAAAAAAAAGTGTCAAAACTCTGTATTTAAACATTACCTTTTTGTTTTCAGATCTTTGACTGTTAAGGTAGAAAGAATCTTAACATCAAATATATAAACTTGGTCATGATGCAGGCTCAGCTACACAGATTTATCAATTCTACTTAAGTACAGTTATTTCCTAGGCACCAATTCCAATGGCTGGATGCCAGGGCCAGTAAAATATTTTGGTTATAGAAGTTTCACGAGAGGATTTGTACCAAGCTGAAGCTGCTCACAGGACTGTCTATAGTCATAGCAGGAAAGCAATGCTTAGCTAAGTTTCATGAATTGAAAAAGCGGAATATGCAAAGCAATATCAAATCCACTTTAAAGATTTTAAGAAATACTGAGGAGTTTTGATGTTTGAGTTGAGTGATGAGTCCAGTCACATGCAAAATGAATCTTCCAAACATTCCATAGCATAAATGGAGGTGAAACAAAAGAGTAAGCAGAGGAGACAAGTACTGAAAAGCCTTACCCCACTTGACCTCTCCCATGCATCTCCTTTGCCAAGTTTGCCCCTTTCCCGCAGGGTGGCATATTCCAGGCCTCTTGGTTTACTGGCATTATAGATGAATATGGAGAGAAGCACTACAGGAGCTTCCAAAAAGAACTCCAGGGAAGGCCTGAAGTCAAAAATGATGAAAGACACGGCGGTGATGATGACAGTGGTGATCTGAGCAGTCATAACATGGAACATATTGTCTCTGAACTTCAAGATGAAGGCTACAGACAGCCCCAGGAAAGCTGTGACAAATATGAGAGCCACTGAGAAGATGTTGTGTCCATAGAAGAAGCCACAGTTCCCTATCTGCCTCCAGTCCTTAGCCCGCAGCCCCAGCATGAGCCCATTGAACAGCACCCCAAAGGCATAGAGTTTGCTGTTCTGTATGAAGATGCTTTCAGCAAGCTGCTCCCCATCTTTCAAGATTTTTTCATTGTAGATGTTAGCCAGGGCAGAAATGAAACACTGCACTAGAATAAGCAGATGGCCCAGGCTAAGGTGGAGAGGTTTCAATGCTCCTGCCATGGTACTGGTGACATTCCAGTAGAAGCTGGGAAGGAAACTTGGTGCTGCACAGTTGGCCTTTTCCAGGCATGCTTCCTCAGGTCCAGCAGAGAGAAGGCAGTGGTTAGATGGACTGAAAAACATATTGTGATGGAATCCGTGTGCAGCCAAGCTTTGCTGATGGTCTCCAGTTCCTAGAGTCAGGGCGACGATGGACAGGAATAAAATCACCAGAGAGGCCCATTGTACCCAAGAGAGTTTTCGCCTAGGAGCAGACAAAAAAGCCACCAATTTTAGAAACACAGTGGCACAACTGACAGGAGAACAAGCTCTATAAAACGCAGAAAAGAGATTATGCCACAGATAAAGAGACAGAGACAAGTGCAAAGAAAAATCTTGGCTGTTCAGAATTTACAGTAAGAGGCCAAAATGCAGCATGATTTTCTGTAGCAAGGGAGGCCCAGTCTGGTGATCACAGAAATATAAAATGAAGTATTCTCTAGAGGTAATTTAAGGGAAGTCTTTCAAGACCATGTTAGTTCTAGATATTGACTGCCTGACAACTTAAAAGCAACTGTTATCTTCACAGGAACACAGGTCTGATGAACAAAAAGAAATCACAGACATTTAAATAGTTACCCTCTTTCTTTGGGACACTTTCACTACATTTCACTTTTTCCCCATCATTTTGTGCCCTTTTCTAGTATTATATGACAGTAAATCATACAAATCTATGAACATAAGTATAAATAGTTCTAATGGTCTTTTAAATACTTTTTTCACTCAAGCGAAGTCTGTTTATCTTGGGGAAAATCAGAAATTTGGAAGGTTAAACTGGGACATCACAAGAGACATAAAACGAAACAACTGAGAAAAAGCATTTTAAGTCAGGCTGTCAGACACTCTTCTGGTTTATTAACACCTGTAGAAAAGGCATCTTTGCTCCATGTTCAACACAAGTGACTTTGAGTAGAGCACCAACTTAACACCCATTTTCCCATTAGTCTTTTCTCAGTCTAAATCACAACATAAAGAGCACAAATCAGGTGAAGTGGAACACACAGGACAGATAGTTTGGCTTTTGTCACATGAATAATGAAGAAGGGACATATAATTACTTTTTAAAACATACATGCAGTTGATCAGAAAAACATCAGGGCTGGCACAATATTCCCAAAGGTATCTCTCTCTTTCACTCTAACATATCTCATCCCCTCTTTTTAGATTACATTTACATTCAATTAAGAATTACAACAGACTGGAAAGAAATACTGCTAATCATGAAATATGAGATTTAATGTACAAATGAAAGTACCCAAACCTTAATTCTGACTATCCAACAACTACATAATCATAGTTTCAGTTTTTTTCTATTACAGTTGACCAAATGTGTAGAGATAGGTTGGGACTCCCAATAAGCTATTATTTCCTACCTTCCTACACCTTCATATGTAGGAAACAGTCATGTCTCCAACTTGGTATAGCCACAAGAAAACAGAATTATTGTTCCCATCAGATAAAAAGAAAGAACGTAGCTTAATTTCTTCAGCAAGGCTAGGAAGATATAAAATTTCATTTATTTCAGTAAATACTACTTACTTCAGCACTATTCTGAAGAGAAGAGCTGTTGTTATAATGACAAAATTTGAGAAGAGTACAGCCATTGCCTAGAAAGAAAAGAAGAGGAACAAAGTTGTACTCCAGACAGAGTGTGGACATCACAAGCCCACCAACTTCAGGTGTTCACCTTTCTGCAAGGTGACAGAGTGAAAAGCATCATGCTGGTACTGAACTTTCTTCTTACCCAAATGGTAGAGTAACACACCCCTCAAATAACATTCAAGTCTCATTTCAAAACCTCAAGCAAACCACAGAGCTTAAGTTACACTGTAGTGTGGAAAGCTGTAACTGAAACAAAGATGTGAGGAAACCAATCCAGCAGAAAACTTAATTAACAAAAAAGAAAACAGTTCAGTTTTCTGCCAGACCAGTACCCCAGCCAGGCTGACCAGTCAGCTGCAAAAACAGATGTGTCAGCACAAAGGAGGAAGCTGCACCAAAAAGAAAACAAGAAAAGACTAAGGGAAGGTGAGGCTGCTTCTGGCTGCAGTGCCAGCTTGCAGCACTCGTGACATCCCAGACCTGGACAAGGTACTTGCAAAAAAATGAACTTCTTGCACATCAAGTGCATCCGCTGTATCATTTATCAAAGGTAAGAAGGTGCTTGGCTTGAATTTTCAAGATTGCAACTGTACTAAAGAATTCACCTGTTTCAAAGTACCACTGAAGAGAGCTCCAAAGCTCCTGTCTAATGACAGTGCCTGAATCCACAGCCGTGATCCCAAGCTGCAAACTCCTTGTGGCAAGGGTTGTCTTTTTGGTCTCTGTATTCAACACTCTGTGCTGGGACACTGGACCAAGAGGCTCTTTTAGGCACCGCAGTTACCATTAAAAATCAGAATTTACCAGCACCACTGGGGAAAAAAGGTTCTTTTTGTGGGGTGGGGGTGTGTTTTATTCAGGACTGCCCTGTGTAGTCAGTAAATGTACAAAAATTTAGGCATCTGAACTCTTTCCTCCAATTCAGCCTTTAAGCGAGATCACTTTTTTAGACAATTCTACACAAAAACATATATGGATTCAGAAGCACAAAACACCAGACTATCTTGAACTTTCTCATCTGCATTTCCACATTCCTAATTCTGCAACAGCAGAGCTTTTTTCATTTACCAGAGGAAAAGCACAGGCCCTTTTCCCATTCCACTTAGTTCCACTCTATTCCAACATACTATCTGCAGAATAAATGTCATGAAACAGCATGACACAGGGTATCATTTAGGCTGAAGATTGACACGTAAGACATCTGTCTAAGAAAACACAGCTTTGGTTTGCAAGGTTACAACTTAAAAAATATTAATGTTAGGTGAACAGTGAAGGAGAAAAATACTGAACAAACAAGTGAATCTGGAACTAGCAGAAACCGCTCCAGAAAAAAAGAGGCCGGATGCAAAATGTACAAGTGTTCCATGTATACTCTGGTTTTACTTCACAGCCAAAGCCCCCCACCCAGCATCTCTGGTAACATAGTATGATCAAAATCTATGGCAGGATAGTCACAAGGAATTAATTTTGAGTTGCTTTGTTCTCTGAGGCCTCAAGGGACCTCTGTCCTAGATGAGAAGGAATAAGAAAAAAATTTACCAAAGACCACCATGCCACTAACTTACACGTCACAAACAAAGCCTCTGAAAAGTAAGTCTTACCACTAGGAAATGTTAGCCACTAAAAATTATCCATAGTTACAGCTGAAGCTTCAAGGAAAAAATCGCACCAAAGCAACTCTATACTTCAAGCAACTGCTCACCCAGGTACTACTTAGTCCCAAACCTACTTAGTTTTTAAAGTCACATGAAACCAAGTTCAGCCAGGTATGACCACCTTCCTTCAAGCATCTTGCCTCCACCTTTTCACTTTCATGGTCTGTGCACTGTCAAGATGTTCCATCTTACGGTTATTCAGTTATCTCTTTTAATACTTGTTTACCATGATAATGTTACAATTTCAGCTAATCCTCATAAAAGATACCGAGTTAAAAGGTATAAGATGCTAAGAGTTCTGAAAAAGAGGAATCTTAGAGCACATGTTCTGAGGGGAATAAGACAAGGGGTGTGTGGGTAAAATAGTAAAGCTGTGCATTTTACAAAAGATGACCTTAACTGAGCCAAATCAAATTGCTTAAGAAAGCAACAGTGTTTACGTAACCTTCTAAACAACAGGCTTTTGCAAACATTATAGCTGAATTTCCTTCCTTAAGTAAAAAACAAACAAAAAAAACCAAACACCAAAAAAAACCCCACACAGCAAACCACAGAACCAAGCACCTGTGCATGCTATTTTAAGATATCTGACTGCTGATTTTAAGATATGTGACTGCTGATTTTAATTAGATTTTTCCAGCCAGGTCCTATTTCCTATTCTAGGCTCAGGTCTGTATCTGACAGAAATGTACACCTAAAAGGACAATATTTTAAAGAGAAATTCAGAAAAAGAACAAACATTTATACTTATTTTTAACGTCAAACAGAGGCAGCCACAGTATTTTGTAGCGAGCACTAACCATCTGTTTCCATCTAACTTCAAACCACAGATTCTGAACCAAAAAGTATTCAAGCATGGAAGTAAAGGCACAAAAACTGTACTATTTCCTGAGCATAAGTAGATTCATCCAAAAGGCTGAATGTAGGTAGAATAAAGCACCAGTTAAATTTTCTGCTTAAACATAACTAATAAACAAATGCAAAAATTAAGAGTCAAAGAGTTTTCTTCCTTCCCTCCTCAGTTCCTATTACAATTACTCCTTTTGTGGGATTACATTTACTTACTTTTCTTTGGAGTCAGTGAGGAAAGAAAACAAGTCATCATGTGAAGTCACATAAATAAAGTGGTAGAAGTCACACAGAAAAGTGCCGCTCAAATACCAGCAAGATAAGCAAATACATTGAAAGAGAAATACAGAGCTGGAGAAACCAAAGGAGGGAAAGCACCAAAAACCTGCCTAGTACTTAAGCAATTCAGTCTATTTCTAAATCACTTTGGAAGGAGAAAATACAGAGAGGCTTCTCTCTACCGAGAGCTGAACAACGCTGAGCAGTGGGCAAGGGAAGGGGAAGTTCTGGCTGGTCAGGAAACAGATCATTCTTTTCCCTGCAAATCTTGCCCTGCCAGTGTTACAACTGTAGATAATCTAAAGGCAACGTTACCTCCCACTAAGACATTGGAAGATACTTTATTCAGTGTATGTAACTTACTGGTTGGAGGTAGGACAATACGTAGAAGACAATCAAGTTATCCAAAAAGTAAAGAAAGGCAGGAATTGACCATTTCATGGAATTACAAAAATTCTTCCAGGAAAGACATTCAAAGGGATGATCCAAACAACCCTCTGAAAGAAAAAGAAATCAGTAAGAAATATACCTTTCTTATATCAAAAGCCCATTCCCTTACAACAGAATAGGTACCACTGTTCTGCTTTCAGGAACACCATTAGACTGAAAAAACTAAGGTACCAGAGCCCTCTGGCAACACAGGGGACAGATCCAGAGCAGAAGACACAGTTAAGAGCAGTAATCCTATGTCTACAGGTATTCACCTCCTTGCTTCAGCAGAGAAAACATCAAGGAACCCTTTATCCCAATCAGAATACACATCTACTGGGAGCAAAAATTAAATTATCAACCATTCTTTGAAGGCCAAAAAGCATCCCCACACAATAGTGACATCATGACTGGGTATGATTTTCTGATGATTATCAATCAATCTAGAACTGAAACAATGACACAGACAGTGGATCTGTTCATCTAGGACCCCAAGGGCAGTCAGTAATGGCAGAAATACAAAATAAACCAAAACTCAGTATTTGTAGTACACAGCATGCGGTCTGGGTAAAAAGAGAACATACAGAAAGAAGGAAGAAATAAAGGACAAAGTACAAAGACTGACATTAACTTAGGTATTCTAGACTAGAACTAGTTTCAGAAGCACTTTGTTAGCACAGGTTTAAGACTACACAATGTTATCTAATCCTCTTCTGAATCACTGACACGTTTTTTCAGCAAAATTCATACACCTGGAGTAAAAAAAGAAAGAAAACCAGAAAACATGTAGTCGGCAGTAGCCAACGATGGCATACACTGACTGAATATGTTTACAATCTTAAGTATATCTGTACTAAATGGTGGAGGTAAAAATTTCATCAGCTTGCAGGAGCCATGACTGCTACGTGGAAAAGTGGACGAAACTAGCACTTCAATTTACCATGAGCGTCCAGTGCCTTCCCAATTTAAATGTCTGTTCTCTACCATTTTGAAATGCTATGAAGTTAACCTCTCATCCTTTTTAAATCCAGATAGAAAAGCCAAGAAAGAAAAAAGAAAACCAGCCTGCAATACAAAAGCAGTAGCTAGTGAAGCCCGGCACTGCTCTTCCTGAACTGTAGCCCCAAGACTTGTCTTCACAACAAAACTATCTTGAATTATAACACTGATATTTTGCTTCTGACTCAAATACCACTACATACACACAAAGCTGGTGGTGTTTTTAAGTAAAAGTGGTCACAACACCAGAACATAAAGGCCAGTCCTGGAGTTGGTGCAATTTATAAGCTTCTGTTCAGTCATGACTTCACAGTGAGGTGGCTCTTATTCTCTTAACATGATACTGTCTTAAAATCCTGGAAATGTTTGACTGTGTCTTCATTACACTTCCTATTTCAACTTACCTGTCCCCATTTCAGCCACCATACACACAACTCAAGAACACCTGAATTTACAGCACAAAGTAGAGTTATAAAATTAAAGTTTAGTTATAATTCTGCAGGGAAGACACAACTCCAGTGAATCTTACTAGAAGGATCTCCTCCACACTACTACATGTGAATCTAACTTTTTTTTTTTTAAACAAATAACTACTTCAGCCATAAAAATATATTCTACATTTTTTTTTTTAAAAAGGCTTTGAAATACAACATATCTTAGAAAGCCAACACATTGTAGTTATTTTAAACGTAGGTACTTACCTTTTTTCTTAACCCATAGCGCCAATATCACACACAGGACCAGTTTTACTACTTCAGAACATATGTTCACTGTCGTAGGAAGGTAATCATATTTGTTCTCTGTGGGATTTAGAAAATCAGCAAGAATACACAATCAGATTCTGTCTCCTGTGTCCATAATTAGAGCAATAAACTATTTTAACCCTTACAGTCAGAATTTTAGCCACTTTCCATAAATGCAAAAGGCTATGTCAACACTTCCATTATAAATATTCAAATTTTTATGATATAAAACTTCCTGAAGAGTCTCCTTTTTGGGTTGAAAACTTTCCTCATTTGGTCGCAGTTTATAGCAGAACTTTTTTTTTAAGAACTCAAGAACATAATTGTTTTAAAAAAAATGTAAAAATGGGCATGTTTGGGGAAAACAGCAATATGCTATTTTTTCTCCTCAGAAACCAGCTTGAAGGATGACACAATGTTCCTCTAGGACTGTATCTTTCCACTGTTAGCATTTTTTGCTAATACTTGGTGAAAGGAGAAACAGTAATACTAGCCAGCTATAGCACACCCACTACAATATCACTTTTCTCCTAAGCCTGTTGTGAGACAAATATTTCAGTCAAGACATGTACCACTGACAGCTATAAAATAATTCACTGCCTTATCTTTTAAGGGTGAACCTCCACGTAGAACCTCCACCTTGCAACTGAAGTTATCACTTTATGTTAGACTAGTGACGATACAGAAGTACAGAAATACATGTTACTATTTATATAATAGAATATTTATGCCCAGAACTCTGCAGGTGGAGACCTACGCTTTTGGGTATCCATTTTACTGCAAACAATTCTTATTTGAGGTACATTATGTTTATTGCCCAACAGCACCTTCATTGGCAGAATACTTCATCAGGAGGATTCGACTTGAGCCCAATACAATAAAGACTCCTCCAAGCAGAAAGGTATAGGTGGTTGTCTTGGAGCAAAACACAGGTCGACCACAGCACTTGGTCTTCATGGTGCTGTCTTGCTGTCAGTGCCCTTTGGATGATAAGATAACAATACACTATAAATAGTACTTCCAGAAACTGGTTAAACAAGATGAAATGTGTGTATTCTCCTGCTTTGTGTTATCTTATACAAAGATGCTTACATCACAAGCCATGATCTCATTCTGCAGTTGTATTTTTCTTTGCGTAAAGCCGCCACAACGGCTTTAAAAAAAAAGAGAGAGAGAGAGAAGGATTTGGTATGAGAACCAGCAAAGAGCCAGCATTGTATAAACAATGTATACACAGTGACTCAGAAGGTGGCAAGATGAAGCCAGTTTGTCAGAAAAGTTCATCTGTGGAATATTAACCAAAAGAATTAAATAAACACGCTTATTGTTTGTTAGTATTTTTTAAAGTGTGCTTTGTTCCCAAGTACAGCAGGGACAAGTTTCACAGCTGTGCAGCGGCAGAACACTGCAGAGAGAACCGAGGGCTCACTCAGCACCCGGCTTGTGGCCAGCCGAGGAACAGGGACTGCCGGAGGCAGAGCCCGACCTGCGCCCATGTTCTCCCGCTCCGCTGCTGCCGTCACACGCCCGACCCGTTAACGGGCCACCAGGCCTGACAAACCGGCCAGCAGACGGCCAGCACCGGCCCCTGTGCGGGGGAGGAGGGGCGGCCCCTCCGGGCCGGCTGCGGGCGAGACTCCCGCTAACGTTCCACCTCAGCGGGGCCGGCCGGAGCGCGGCATCC